ATTTATTTTAGATCAAAGAGCTGCCTTATGGACAGACGTGGGTATTTCATGTGTTTATTCTATTGTTATTTGGAAGTGAAACAGGACATCCTTTGGCTGAAAAAATAAAACAAGTCCCTCTGAGAGTTACAGGGAACATTAAGGGTCACTAAAGTGATGGTTTAGTACAGTCTGGTAAACACAAGCACAGAAAAGACTAAAGAAAATAAGCAGAAATACACAGACTCCAAAAGAAGACAACCAGCAGGATCCTTTCTTTGCTAATGAAAAGCTCATTTTCAACATCATGTCAAAACAGGTTAAGAGAACTTTCAAGGAGGGAGTCATATCATTACTCATGTCTACCATAAAGACAAAACCATGAACAGATACGGAGGGTTCATAACAAGGTGCAAAGTGTTCAGGGAGCTCAGTCACAGACATTATCAAAGTAGAGGTTTGTGTTTCCTACAATTCTGATGTTTTTTCCTCTACAAAGACATAACCGATTACTAACGCTTAGCATCATGTCTACACTGTTAATCACAGATGACAGATAGACTCGTGGGCCTCAAACAAGAGCTACACAGAGGTATCGTATTGCTCACATCATAGACGTTGGTCAAAATGGTGCTAAAAAAATGGTCCTATATAGAAAAAAAGATGACGGTTTTACAAAAGCATCACAGCTCTCATAATAAAGTCAAATCAAATAGTGACTCTTCAAAACCATAACACGATCTTTATCTTGTGGTAGATTAAATCTACCACATAAGCTATTACTCTGGTTTATTAGATGCGTCCTATCTTGATCATGTCATGTATGACACACATAACATAACATTTAAATACATGTTCTTCAATATTATTTAAAATTCTGTTTGCACATTGGTTAAAACAGCAGCTTTAAAGTAAAGCAGTGTTTACTCTGAACAAACAATACAGCTGTCTTATATTTGTTCTGTACGTTATTTGTATATCTGTTTATTTTAAACACATTGTTACTTTAACAGATCTGTGTAAAACTAATTCCATTTGAAGCCAAAAAAATAAGTTAGTTTTGTTCAAACTGATTTGTTTCTGTGGCTGAAATGAGGACTTATCAGCTAACAATACGATATTCTATGCTTTACTGGAGACTTTAGTGATTTGATTTCTGTTATCTCCTAGGAAGTTTAAAACAGAATGTCCTTTATCATGTGATTAACCTCAGAGTGATCAGCAGTCTGCCAACCTTTATCCAAAGCACAATCAGAGGGACCTTTGGAACTTAAATACGCTACATGATAAATGCGCTTGATAAATAACCTCAAGCTACACAGCACTCATCTACATGCTTAACTAGAAGACCCAGCTAACTGACTTGGACTTTACTCCCACAGAGTCTGGCTTCTAGTACTTCAAATGAGTCAAAATCAATTTACAGTATCTTGCAGCTATGTGCGTTCTGATGACTGGTGAGAGGATCTGTCAGTTTCTAAGAGACAATATGAGCAACTGCAACAAAAACAGGGAGCAATGCTCATACATATCAGACTGCTTCTTTGTCGTATCATACAAACTTTCCAGCCTTTAGACATTTTGTAGCACTGACCTTTACCTTGGCCTGGACTATTTGTGTTCGTCAGCATGAGGCAAAAAGAACGCAAAGACTCAGCGGCTCATCAGTAAAGGCACACAGGTCACGTCTGTAAAAGACTGTAAGGCTGGCAGTGAACTGAACAAAATTCCTTTCTGACTGGAGAAAAATGCTGCAGTATCACTGTGAGCAAACGAAAGCTTTTACACCAACACAGTACGTTTGTTTATTAAATGGAGTCCATTGTCTCCTCTGGATGAAGGGACGAGTGAGTCATAGTCATTTCATGATCGCACACACAACTTTCCAGCTCAATCACCATTTAAGGTTCACGTCAGAAATGTATTTCTAATTTTGGTCACAGCAAGTAAATGAATAAAAACTTTTTAATCCATTGGCATTATATGCTAAAAGAAAGATTGGGTGTGTGTGCTTCTTTTTTGCTAATCTACAGGGTTAATATACAGTACTCTTCATCTGTGGGTAATTCTGAGTTACTTATCTCTTATATGTGCAATCAGTGGTGAAAATGTTTCATGTCATTGTGAGATCAAGTACTGGGTTCATTATGTTAACAAAGTCAAGGCAGTGCCATATCCTCCATGAGTTTTTTTCAGACATGTTTTCATTGAACAAACAGGAACCTGCTGTGGTAAAGTGGCACACCTCAAGGAGTGGTGGGATTCACTCACAATGCTGCACACAGCAGAGCCCTGGCCCTATATTTAGACGTACAGTAGTGTGGCTGTTAGTGGGGGGGAGGTAGCTATTATGTTATTTGTCTGACTGTTGGAACTTCTGTTTAACAAGGGGGTGGGGACATGAGTAGTGTAATGCCTAAATAGATCACAGTGTGACCCTTTAGCAGATCAAAGCTTTGAAGAAACACACAAAGCCAAATTCCACTCAAAGATGTGCACATCACCATCCATACACAAAGCAATTTTTGGAGATGACAGGGAACCTTTAGAATCCAATCGGAAAGGTCAACAGCTTTCAGATTGGAAGGGGGGAAAATAAAAAAGAAGCTAACCTTCAAAAATTAATTCTGGTAAACCCCAGAGAACTGGCGTGTTAACACAGGCACAACAGATAAGTGGAACAATCAGAGGTCATTATCACTTAGAGACATGCAGAAACAGGCGAGTATTACCATGTCTCCATGGGTCCTTGGGCTCCACAGCTCCTGAGACTATGTCCTCATCTGAAGGAAATGTCACCCTTTTGCCACTTGGTTTGTGTTTATCATCCACCTCCTCCTGCACTGATGGATACAGTCCAGCTTGATCAGTGGTAGAGGACTCTTTGCTGCACGTCTGGTTTGCATCTGACTGGCTTTCTGCCATTGTTTCTGCTGGAACATCCTGATGTGTGGAGGACTCGGAGTTCAAAATGTCATCTGATAGTGATCCAACATGAACAGATTCAGTCTCCAATACTCCACTTTCATCAAGACTCAGGTCTACACCGATGTCCATGTCCCCACCATCATCCCCTTCTCCCACAACAAGCCTCGCAGAATCACTGTCCTTGTCCACCTTCATTTTCTCCTCCTGAGTATTGTCCGTTTGCTTCAGATCGTTAGACAAAATCAACTCAGTTGAATTAACTACAGCAGAGGTGTCCAGGACACAAGTCTTTCTATTTCCATTGACTTCATCAATTTCCAGTGTGTCTTGTGCCTGATAGTTATCTTCTTCAGGAGCCTGAAGGCTGTCTGAGAGCTGAGGAATCAGGTGGGTTTCAGAGGCCTCTGTAGAATCAATGTTTTGTTTTTCTGTGTTACTGTCCGTCATCAGTTCAGAGATCCGAGGAGTGACTCCTTCTGTGTTATTTGTAGTGTTATCCACATTGCTTTTTGTCTTTACATTGCACAGATCAAGACACTGCTCTTCGATATTCATGTTTACATTTCCAGTAACACTCAGCTTTTTTACTGTCACAGGTTGGATAGGAAGTTAAACAGTGACTAGGAACCGACTGACATTGATAAGGTTGTCTAAGCCCACTGTCTCACACCTTTTGCAGATGTGCACATATTTTGGTCCTTTATAATCCAGTACAAACCTACTCTGAAGTGCATGTGAAATTTTACCGTTGCTTTGACTTGATTTTTTAAATTTATATTAGGGTTTTTTTTTTTTTTACAGTTTTCGAAAAAAAAACGCCCGTCGCAGGTGACTTTGGTGCATCCTAATAATTCTATTAATTAAAGTGCAATTTTCAAACAGACATCAATACCAGATGTGTGTAATATCTGTGCAAAAACAGATACCGTTTCAGATATGATTTATAAACCGAACTTGACAACTTTCTTTGACTATAAACAGAGAAGGCAACCACCGCTTAAAATTTCTACCTGTCTGGTTGTATTGCTCCAAGGTAGAAAGCAGAGGAAGGTTCCCTGATCGTCAGCACATTGCCAGCAGTAATAAATAGGACCAAGACAATCTACTGGGACTAACAAGTCACTCAGGGCGCCTCCATTACGCTAGCAAAGTGAGCTTTATAGACCTCCTCAAAACCAACTCATCAACATGAATTAAAACGAGCTAACGTTCGCTAGCTTGCTAAATTTGGTGTCCAATAATAACGTCCAGGCCCAGATGCGGTTGCATATCAGCTTTTTTTTAACGAGCCGACGCGTTTCTCCCCGACAAAGTTCATTCTTCCGAGCCAAGAAAATAATTCCCACTGTAGCTCTGTTCTCACCCTCTGCCGTGCTGCAACTCTGCTCGCATCACAATCCTCGACCAGCGGCAGAAAAGAAAAAAACTGGCGTCAGATTCCGAGCAATGAGCATGTTTCGGTGGCTAACCGTAGCCGTAAGGAGCCGTGCCAGGGTTACACGTGTCGGCCGTAACAGTGCTAATTATAATGCGATTATATTAAAGATTTCCCCACCGACCAAGTGTTGTGTGTATCTCTGTGCCCTGAGTCAGCTGAGCCTGTTTTTGTCCAGCTTTACCCTTCGCTAGCTTGTTGAAGTCCAACAACTGTTTGTTGTTCATACGTCTTACGTCATCACGCCCTTCCAAACAGGGGGTACGTTGAGTGGATGCAGGTTACAGAGAGCTACAGAGGGCGGCGGTGTGGGACCCAAATACACAGCTTGCAGTTTATGATACAGTTTACTGCTCGCATTAAATACGACAGTGCGAAGTGGATATGGTCTCATAAGTCATTTACAAATCCAGGGTTATCTACATGCTGTTTAATAATGAAATGGCGTTTGATATAACTCACCATCGACCTGACAATCGAAATTTACCACCTAGGGTAAACAGGATTCAAATCAAGTCCATTTCTCACTCCAATAACTTCTGAAAGTGAACAATGAACAGAAGTGCTTGACTTGGAGTTACTGTAACGTTTTTCACAACAACCTAACTTGTGTATTATTTTTAAAGAGGGGAATACCAGTATTTTCCAAACTAGTTGCAGCAATAAAAGACACTTTAATTGAATTGCACATTTCCAGGACATGTGATGCAAGGGTACAAAATTGGGCATCACCAATAGATGTTTGACAAATAGCCCTCATTTAAAAAGCATTCCGATAGTAAGCAGATGTGATGAAATAAGCATTATTGGCTTCAAGACATGGGGAAAAAAAAAAAAAACATTTAGAAATTTATTCCATCCCAAACCAACTGCAGCTCATCCCAGAAGAAAAGTGCCAAATGCTTTGAAATACTTCAAAATAAGTTTAATATACTTTAATGTAGATTTTAAAACATGTATGCATTTCACACTTAAAACTCTTGAGACTGGACATCCTTAGGAGAACCGGCTTCTTTGGGGGACTTCGTCTTCTTTGGCAGAAGGCTTGCCTGGATGTTTGGGATCACGCCACCCTCTGAGATCGTGACCCCTGACAGCAGTCTGTTGAGCTCCTCGTCATTCTTCACCGCCAGCAGGATGTGGCGAGGAGCAATACGCAGCTTCTTGTTGTCACGACTTGCATTTCCAGCCAGCTCCAAGATTTCAGCACAGAGGTACTCAAGGACAGCCGCGAGGTACACCGACGCCCCGGTTCCAACCCTGCTGGCGTAGTTGCCTTTTCTGAGTAGCCTGTGGATGCGGCCTACTGGGAAGGTGATCCCTGCTCTGGAGGAGCGCGACACAGAAGATTTTGGTGGAGGTGCGGTTTTCTTTCCCCGGCCAGACATGGTTAACTTCAGTTTTAAAGAGAGAAACAAAAGGGTACATTTTTGTGAGTAGATATAGTCTTATCAAATTCTGCAAACTGCAGCAATTGGAAATAAGAGACTATGGAGTTCCCTGAAATTCACAAGTTTCAACACCTGACAGCAAATACAAATTGAAGTACAATACCTGGAAATGTTATGCAACACATCACTAAATAAAAAAAACCCACACCCAATGTGCCAAACACTCACAAGTAGTCCACGCTTCCTCCAAAGCAGCAATTGCTAATCAGGCCACAGAAATCTGCTGGTATATAATTCTGGAAGCGATTGGCTGATTAACAACACCTGGCACTGCTGCTGCACATGTTTAAGTTGAGATGTAGCAATTTCAACTTAAGCTTCAACCTTGAGGGCCTCAATAAGTGAACTTTAGAAATATATCATTTATGCCTTCATTTCTAGTTGACATTTGACTTTCCACCACTTACTCTCAGAAGATACACCATGTAGTTTGCACAAAGAGTAACAAGTGAGAGGTGATGGAGCAATAATGGCTGCATGAAAAGCACCAACAGCAGATGGCAGCACAGACCTCAGATTTAGCTGGTACCCTGTAGCCATCTGTCTTCATCACATTTTCTAACCTTGTTTGACTTTCCTAATAATGGAGCACTTATAAATCTATGCTTAGTGATGCCATGTCTCCTATTCATGTTGGATGCTTTTTGTGTCTATTTTTCAGAGTGCCTGATATGCTTACCAACTAACTGCTGAGAGCAGTGATGACTCATCTTGCACGATTGCGCAAAGCTCGGTATAACAAGTGTTGCTTTACAACATTCAGAAACATATACCGTAGTTATTTCAGGATGACTAAGATTTAAAGGTTTAAAAGACTGTGATACAATCTTAATGACCCATTTGTGAGAGCTAATGTAATAAAGTTCTGATTCATAGACCACTTAAAGAAG